GGGGGGCGGGGGGGACGCGGGGGGTGTGGGGAGGAGCGGGGGGGAGGGACCGGAGGGACAGGGGAGCAGGCAGTGGCCGGGAAGGGCCTGGCCCGGGCCTGAAGCCCCTTCCCGGTGAGAGGGGTCACCAGAGCAGGGGCCACCTGCGAGGTTCCCCCAGGCCTGGCCACGAAGAACTCTCAAGAGATGGGTGAGGACAGGGGTTATGGTCCCCAGGCACTGTCACTGAATGAGACCTTACTGCTCTCTACTGCTACCCGAAGGGAGGTTGGAACGAGGTGAGGGTTGGCCTGTTCTCCCCGAAAACAAGTGACAGGACAAGGAAATGGCCTCGAGTTGTGCCAGGGGAGGTTTAGACTGGTTATCAGGAAAAATGTCTTCACTGAAAGGGTTGTCAGGCACTGCAACAGGCTGCCCAGGGAAGTGGTGGTGTCCACATCTCTGGAGGTGTTTGAAAGACGTGTAGATGTGATGCTGAGGGACATGGTTTAGTGCTGGACTTCGCAGTGTGCTGGGTCATGGACTGGACTTGATGGTCATAAAGGTCTCTTCCAACCAAAATGATTCTGTGAACTTGGGCAACATGAGGGAGCCTAGGAGTGTTCTGACCTAGTTGATCCTCCTTGAATTCAATCAATTGTAATTGCATCAGAATTTATGAAAGATTGTACTTAAAACTTGTGCTCCACTTGTCTGGAGCAGCTCTGCATCTTCAAGTGATTTTTATAGATAAATTGCTGTGTTGGGTTTTGGCCAAGGGCTGCAGTACAAAGGCATGATCTCCCAGTGGTGCCCTCTATTCACACAGGCAGTTCTCTTTGTATCTGAGTTTGCAAGTAGATCAGTTGTCTAAATATAAACAAAAAACCTATTCATTTAGGACACACTGTAAATTATAGATGGTGATTTAGCAAATCAAACACGCGTTTCCATCCAAATATGTAACATTATTCCAATGAAGTTTCAAAAATAAGGTTCATCACTTTCTCCCTATTTACATCTATTATACATAATACAATTTATCCACGCCAATTGTAATTCAGATTATATTAATTTGCCAGCCTCTGGCCCATTTTCTTGGTTAAAAGCAGATGATGAAGTACTTATTAAAATTTAGAGTTAGAAAAGTAATCTTTGACTGTCTAATGTATATTTTGTAGATCTAAATGGATGCAGAACTTCCTTCAGCTTTAGGATGGCCACTGTTTCACTCCTGGCCTTTTGATATTTATGAAGATACAGATGAGGTATTTGCATGAAGAATCACACCATGGGTATGAGAGGTCAGAAATACCCTCACCCTTTCTCCTCCTGAAGTCCACTCCTTAGGGAAGAATTTCTAGGTATTTACTGGGGCTGTAGGTACAAGAGGGGACCATTAAAAGCAGCCTTGAAGCAGCAAGGAACACAAAATCTTTTGAGATGCTTCTTGGGCAAAGCTGTCCTACTTTACAGCTACTCCCTGCACGGCACTAGATTGTGTCTGACAGACAAAATTATTACTAATTTGTTTTTTTCCTTCAAGTATTCTCACTTATCTTCAACCACTTTTTCTTCTTTAGGTGCTTAAAGTGCTGAAAGCATGCATAGCTGCCAGGAGAAACTTTCCATGAGACTTGCTTGTGAGAGTGGCTAGTGCTGTTCCCCTCTCCAGACACGGTCCAGAAAGAACAGTATAACTGAAGATGAGGTTTATAGCTAGAAGTACTATCATTTGTTATAACAACAAACACAGCTGGATAAAGTAAACAACTGTTTGGGAGAAACTGAATTCTCTCAGAGCTGTCTATAGAAATTGTGTTTCCAAGAGAAACCCTGTTATTGCAAAGTGTCACACTTAACATTTTTACAGAAAGGTTCCCAACTTCCACCATCCCATATAAAGACCTTTGCAATAAACTGCAATGGTATTATTACCAAGGTGTGAAAAACAAAGAGTGTTGCTGCCAAAGCAAACCAGAGCTAAGAACTGGGGAGACCAGAAGGTCCAGTCAAAGGGGAAAAATGGGAACAGAGATTAAGCCAGGAATCAGTACGTTAAAATATACGTTTTAATACCAAGACAAAGGAGTAGCACGGTTGGAGTCGAGGTCACAGTTAAACAGCAAGTTGATCCAGGCAGCAAGGATGACCCACAAGAAGCAGATGGAAGAGTGAAGTAGTTTGGGGAAGAAGACACAGTGAAAGACATAGTTAGGTGTCAAGAGAACTGCTTAAGGCAGGGCAATCTATAGGATCTTAAGGAATCTCTGCCAGTAAATACCAACACCTACTGCCAGTTGCTTAGGAATCTAGGCCTGAGGTGAGATTTAGTTCCTGAGCTACCTGAGAAATGATTCACCCACAGCTCATTGACTCTGAAACAGATCATTTAATCTGAAACTAAGTTTATTTCATTGAGGTCTGAGAGCTGGATGTAGGCATCAAGGATTTCATACATTTCTAACTTTATGTGCAGACATAGTAATAGACATAGACATTTCACTGCTCTGAAATAGAAGGCTGGAAGGAAAACAAGCTGGACTTTTTTAGCTGTTACAGAAATAAATGTCAGATTTACCAGAACTGAACCTTCTGCTTCCACTCGGGCTGTAGGTTTTCTTTTTAATCTATTGAATTTGAAGTACACCTGAGCAGGAGATACAGATGATAATTTGTCTCATACTATGGACTGGCAAGTTCTTTCTTCCATTTTTAGCCAATGAATCATCAGAAACATGATACAAATTTATATTTGCTAAAAAGAATGAAGAGGAGGCAAGAAATATCTTCAGTCCTTTCTTGGGCAGAAGTTATTGCTCAGTTCCAAGGTGTCTACATCACAAAGGAAGGTCATGGTAGCCACCACAGCAAAATCTATTTATATCAAAAGAAATGCAATCTAGAGAGGCAGCTCTTGCAAACTGACAGGAAGGCTGACTGATGAACTCATTGGTTTTTGAGGGGATTAAGAAAGTAGTCTTTTGCAGCATACCAAAAGAAAACATCAAAAAATAAGCCTGAGGTACCTTGCACCAGACCAGGGTTAGAAGATCTCTAGGTGTTTTTCATCCATACTTTAGAGGTAACAAAGACAGTGCTGGAGGGACTGCCTCAGCAATTCTTAGAACCTGCTCTGTAATCCTAATGAGCTTGGTCTAGGTATAAACTATACATGATTTAGGTGTAAACAGAACATTTTTCTCAAGCTGGTAATGTACAGATATACTCAGAAAAAAAGGAGTAATGAAAACCAGACTTCTATTAAACTCACTTTTTGTGGTGCCTAACACCTCAGCATAGAAGTTGAGAGGACTGAATAGATTTTGCTCAGTTTATTCCTTTTCAGCCTAGTTTTAAAAGAACAGTTTTTCAGCCTCAAGATAACCCAGTAAGTGTCTGGTATCCTGAATCCCCAAGGAGGGTTTTATGTGCACAGGGTTAACGCTAAGATTCTCCTGAAAAAAATGTTGGGATATTCAAGCTAATAAAATTAGTTGAATTGGCTAAAGCTGAAGTTGCTTAAATTGGAACCATTTCACTGGGAAGGTTCCCACAGAATTCATCAATGGATTTTAGATCACTCTCTTTAACTGTAAATGTGAAATTGGCACCATGTCTTTACATCTAAATTTATCTAGCACCATTTGAATAGATGATGTCTTCTTTTCCAGTCATCATTCAGCTAAATGCAGCTTGGACTAAACAGAAAATATAAAGTTATTCTCTCAGTTAATATGACTACTTACAGGATTACATATTGCCTAAGAATTTGCCAGATTGAAGCCTGAAGCCCAATTCAGTATGTTGATGAGTGTGACCACTGATTTTAAAGAGAACTTAAGGTAAACACAAACCACATGATACCCAACACTGTTTGGGAATTATGGAAGGGGAAAATTATGGAAGAGGAAAAAAAGACTAAGAAGTTAAAATAAGTTGATAATGGAATAAAATAAATGTTATGCACATTAAGATTATTTATGGTGTGGTCATTCCAATGTCTTATATTTGGTAAGCTAAAGCACAGCAAGAATTGTATTATAAGAAAAACATATCAATCAGTCTTGGATCTGGATTCCCCTTGAAATATTGCTGACTGGCATTTCATTTCTATTCATACCTTAGTTATGTTTTCTATTTGTTTGCTTTTTTAAAATAAAAAAGCTTTGGTTTTGTTCAAAATACTTCCAGCCTCTATCTTCATTTTGTTGATCCAGTATCACTAATTTCCCAGCTAAATGCTATATTATGACATAATACATATTTAATTGTTTTGAATGAGCCAAGGGAAATCAATTTGAATAAAAAATGGGAATATTGGCACCAAAAAATGGATGTAAACTAGTTTGGTATCGACCTACATACATATGTGCTCAATTTGATATATATGTGTGTGTGTGTGTAAAATATGTAAATATGTATATATGTGTATATATATATATGTTCATCAATATATAGATTAATCTATGCAGCCAAAAACAGAAGAAAAATTGTGTCATCGAATACAGTTTTGAACAAGCTTTTGAAATTAATATTTGAGTAAAATATCTCCACTATTTTTAACTTAGAGCTTAATCCATTTACAAAAAGTTTAGTGAGATTGCTTTCAATAACCAAGGAACTGGGTTCAGTGATGAATAAAATGCCTTCTAGTCCTTCAGTTTGCTTCACTGAAGGGTACCTAGAGTGAGAAGAGCCATGCAGAGTTTATAGAGGCATAAGCTCTGCAGGAGCATGGTGTTGTTAGGCAACAGAAGCATTAAGTCATATCACAGAGCTAGAACAGTTTCAGTTCCTTATCAAGGCAGCATGAAGTGACTGAAGGCTCATACTGTTTCCATTGGCCTTTCCTGTGTCTTTCAGGTCCCAGTGTGAGGATTCAAAACACTCCTCAAAATCAAACACAAAAAAAAAACAAACCAACAAAACAACAACAAACCCACCTCACTGCAGCTTAAATTTGGTTAGAAATGAGAAAGGAAAGGAAAGGTAATTTTCAGGGATCTGTTTTTCTCATATTTGGGTATACATACTAAGTATATATAATAGTTATTTTACTGGTTGTGAGTGTCATGTTTGCCCATATGGAATATGAGCTTGCCCGTGTCATGGGCTGGTTCCATAGCAAAATTATAATGGGTTCCAAAAGAGTTATTTGAGAGTGAAGCAAATATTTTTTGTGTTAGCAAATAATCACTGGAAGCTTTAATGTTGTTTTACAGCTGGTTGAATAACAGCATCAGCATATGTCTCTGAAACCAAAGTGCCACAAATAACTTTTCGGTTCTTGTAGAAC